TTCCTTTCAATTAATTAGGTAACGCGACAAAAAACCTAAAGATAAAAGAAGACTCAGATCCGAACGGCGACTCTGAGTCTGGATCGTACTTTTCTTCTTTCTTCTTCTCAATCTTCAAATCAAATCTCGATCTTAACGCCTACGCATATCTGGTAATGATCTTTTTCCCTCTGGATCTTCATTTCTTTATTCGAATCTTGATTTTGATCTCACTTCTTCAACACGTTTAGATCTGTTCAAAATTTTCATTTGAATTGTGTTTCTATGCACTTTATTTTTATGTATAGGTTACATCTTTTGGTGGCTAGCAGCACAATCATCACTACCTAAAGATGATCGGACCAGCAATGAATCGAAATTACCTCAACAGGGAATACGGTGCTATGCAGATGCCGCTTGGAGACCTGATACGAAGGAGGCAGGTTTGGGCTGGATCATCACTGACCAAAACAACATCAGATTGGCTTCTGGAACCAAGAGAACAGCACGTATCGCAAACCCTTTAATGGCCGAAGCTTTAGCGGTGCGCAACAAATCGAAGGATTCAGATTAAAAGCATCTCATCGGACTCAAAGCAACTAATCCATCTCATCAATCCCAGGAATTCGCGACTCGATCTACACGGAATTCTACACGATATCGCATCTCTGGCAACTGGAGAAAATTCAAAGGCCGATGGTTTAGCCAAAGAAGCTTTATTTTATGAACCAGCTTGTACCGACACATTTCCGGTAACATCTTTGACCCAAAAAAAAAAGGTTACATCTTTTGGTATTTCTTAATTGTTTCATGATTTGTGTATGTGATAGGTTTTTTTGTACAGTGTTTTTGCGATTGATAATCGAAGAAAATGGTTTTATTTCTTAATTATTTTCATGATTTGTGAATGTGATATGTTTTTTTTTTGTAGAGTGTTTTGCGATTGTTAATCGAAGAAAATGATGAGCAAGTTCAAGATATAGTATAGAAGATTTAAAGGCCAGAGATCACACACCAAACACAATGATGTGATGCATCTATGAGAGTATCGCATAGGTTTGATGATCATAGTTTGTGGTGGTCACTTCCACAAATCACATCCTTTGTTCATCTTCAATTCAGAGGTATTAATTTGCTCTAATCCTTCAACTTTATTTGTCAAATTGTCTTTCAAATCATGTAATCAAACTTTTTTAAACTTTAATTGTAAGTATTTTAGTATCAACATTGATCTATTTAAATGTATTATCGAATAAGATTGATTTTTTTTTTTTAGATGAAGGCGTTGTAAATATGGACATGGACTCTTTTAAAGAAGAAATTGTTAATCTCAGGTCCTCAAATCACATCTTTTTGTTCGTCTTCAGAGGTATTAATTTGTTATGTTCGTTAAATTTATTTGCCAAAATGTCTTTTAAGTCCCGTAATCAAACCAATAATCTTCTGTTCTTGTTAAAAAAAATTTTAGTATCACATTGATTCTCTTTATTTATATGCCTAATCAGATAATGTAGGATTTTAAACCCTTTTTTTTTATAAAAAAAACGAAGACATTGTAAATGTAAGAACCAATAGTTCTGGATTGAGCCTCTAAGACTTAACTTTAATTGTTTTTAACCAAAAGCTAAGTATGTTAAGTGATAAACCGTTTCTCACTAATTATTTGTAAATATGAAAATCAAAATTAAGCTTTTATCAAAACAATTTACACTCTTGTCAGCTGATAAATAAAAGAATAACCAAACTATTAACAACTAACTAAACTGTCTAGCTAATATTATAAAAAAATATAACTCATTAAATAACCAATTCTCTAAAATTTAAGGGATAATTGCAAAAATGTCACAATGGGTTGTCCATTTGAAATAATGTCACTAACTATGAATTTT